GTGTACAGCAACACGTGCTGTGTACAGCAACACGTGCTCTGTACAGCAACACGTGCTGTGTACAGCAACACGTGCTCTGTACAGCAACACGTGCTCTGTACAGCAACACGTGCTCTGTACAGCAACACGTGCTCTGTACAGCAACATTTGGTCTGTACATGTTGCTGTACATGTACATGATACAATTTTTTCATCCATGTTTCCCTTGGAAATATCCATTCTAAGATATTAAGTTGAACATTTGGAACTCTTAGGAGTTCTCAAATGCTCTTTGAAGCTAATTAAGAACATAGGAGATCTACAGTATGTATATGTAATGGACTATTGACTGTCAAGACTGTCAGATCATGACTGTCAGATATTGATCGGCAAGACTGTCAGATCTTGTATGTAATGGACTATTGACTGTCAAGACTGTCAGATCAAGACTGTCAGATATTGATCGGCAAGACTGTCAGATCTTGTATGTAATGGACTATTGACTGTCAAGACTGTCAGATCATGACTGTCAGATATTGATCGGCAAGACTGTCAGATCTTGACAATAAACAGCATCGAGAAGCGTCAGGCTGCAGGAAGTTTGTGCGGGGTTGCATGAAAATGATGACTAAGGGGAAAAATTGCAATCGCAGAAACGCTTGGAGAGCAATCACGCTTATGCTCGCGAGGTTAAAGTCCGATATTCTGAAATTTATAGAGTATATAATTATTATGTTAATATTGTAGACTTTCGGCTTTTTCAGATTAAATTCAAGATGTTGAAATAATTTAATTGGTCAGAATATGCCCGATAACTCGTCTATCTAACGGCCGAACTCGTTTAATTCCTGAGCTTGGCACACAAAATCTAGCAAGATCATATTTCTGACCAGCGTGTCTTTCTGAGCGTTAATGGAACAGCTTTACTTCTGACCAGCGTGTCATTCTGAGCGTTAATGGGACAGCTTTACTTCTGACCAGCGTGTCATTCTGAGCGTTAATGGAACAGCTTTACTTCTGACCAGCGTGTCTTTCTGAGCGTTAATGGAACAGCTCGAGATAGGTTGGGGCGTTAGCCTCTTTGGAGTTTGGACACGTTAGCCCCCATCAGGACACGTTAGCCCCCCTCAGGACACGTTAGCCTCCCTCAGGACACGTTAGCCTCCATCAGGACGCGTGAGCCTCCATCAGGACACGTTAGCCTCCCTCAGGACACGTTAGCCTCCCTCAGGACACGTTAGCCTCCCTCAGGACA